ACCCCCTGAACCCCTTAAACCCCCCTGAACTGTAGGCCAAGGGTCACAGAGTATGACACACTTGTGTCCACAGGTTGACCTCATCAGTTTTAATCCCCTTAATCGCGGGCTGTCCTGAGTTCATGACTAAATAACAGTCCTTTTTCACAGGTATCGAGCAGGTAGAAATCGCGCACAATTCCAGTCACGGAATTGTATTCGTGCTTAACTTTTGAAGGACGTCGCAGAGAATTTATTGTAATTAATTGTGAGACGTGCTGCCGAAATGGGTTAATTCTAGGATTCTAGCCTCATGGTTACAGATAGATACATGAAATGTATAAATGTATAGGCTGGGTTTGCACAATACACAGTATAACACGGATAGCTGGAATTCGTCGGGACTGTCCTAAGTAGTTCGAAAGATCCGTAGTTCGAGAGATATCTTACAAAGGTTAGAAAAAAAATGAGCAGCAGGCACAGTTCGACAGATGCGTGATTTCTAGTCTTCTGTGTTCGACCTATTTGTGTTTTTGAAAAATTTTTATGTTTCACTTGAAAAAAGAAATGTAATCAGTTTAAAATCTACAAATTTGATGTGTCTGTCTTTGACCGACATCTCCATTAGTTGATTTTGAGAAAAGCAACTCACTCACTTTGTCAGTTCGCTCTACATTAATTTTGTAACACAACGCAGTGGATTCAGACGCTTGTAAAAATGACTGCGACAGTTTGGTGACTTCCAAAACTTGAGAGTCATTAGAAAAGGAAAATTAACATTTTTTTTGTAACTTTGATCAACGTTTGTCAGTTCGATTTACATTTTTTGGTTTCACAACCGGGTGGATTCAGACGCTTGTCAATGATTGGGTATGTGGGGTTATTGGCATCATCTTAAATCTTATTCATTTGTCTTTCTTGCTTTCGATTTTAAAAAAACCCGAATATCTTTAAAAGAAATCGAGATACTTGCGACTGAAAGAAGTGGAGGTCATCTGGTATCAGAGGTAAGATGAGCGAGAAAATGGCCGCAATAGTTTGGTGACTTCCAAAGCTTGAAAGTCCTGAGAAAATGAAAATTTACTTCTTTTTTTTTTGTACCTTTAATAAACTTTTTTCAGTAAAATCCACGAAGAAATATGTTTATAAATTGGCATGAAAGGTATTGAGCTGGGAAAAAAAAGTGAATTTGATTTTTTTTAATTTCACAAACCAGAGGAAAAATTCGGGTTTCTTAGACTGTATTATTTTGATGCGCGCCTTATTTCACCACGGTGCCTCACATATGTCTGTACAAAAAAAGAAGGCAATGCTACGGCACATTTTGAACCGCCACGCACACACAGGCACACACACACACACACACACACACACACACACACGTACACACACATACAAAGACCGTGTGAACCAGTAACGTGAATTTGCATATGTTCCAGTTTTCACGTAAAGGCCTGCTTTGTTTAAAAGCTTTAGATAAAGAAAACAGAACTTAAAAATCAATACGACTCCGGGAATTATATCTTTGTTTCTGCCCC